CATATTAAATATGTTGTTCTGTATCCACCCTGAATGTGTTCTCCATCATATATTGGTACTTGCTACTATACGATGAGTCAGTGTAAATGACGATGTGACTTTCACGCAAGGCCTTATAGATTAGACAGTTACATCATGGCAAGCCTGTAGTTTCAGGATAAGATCTATTATTAGAGTAGTACTAATATTATAGTAGACCATAATTCTACATCTGTGTATGTCGCCCACGCAATCACACGATACTTGAGCTCTATCTTAGATGTTTATTTCCAGTGATGTAGTTCTACCGTCTTCACTCAATGCTGGTATTATAACACTCCTCTTAATCCCTTGGTTTATGTACTAAAGTAAGCGTTTTGAGTATATGCAGACTCGTTGAGAACATTTTTTCCTATAGCCTTCTGGGCTTGTGTAAAATAAAGAAAAATATTTCGGAATCACCGATAATGAAATATTGTCTCATCAGCAATCAGTAACTTGAATGTCTAGTATATTCTCTTAGAGTACGAAAGTTCTTGTTCAATCATGGTGAGAAGCTTTATCCGATTCCTTGGCATTCTCCGAGAAACATGATGTGCCACAATTTTGTGCGATACATTATCTGTGATGTTGACCAAGATATTAGTTTCAATGGATAAGAGTTATTCATATCTCGTCGTGCTTCTGAGTACAGTCCGCTCCTGCTAATTTGAAAGTTCCAAAGTTACGTTTTTTGCTCGCATTCTGGTTTTCTGTGATATCGACTATAACCGGCTTCTTAGAACCGGATTGTACACCCTTCTGCAACTTCTTGTTCAGCAAGCTCCAAACATGCGAGATCTGGTCTCGAGTTTGTATACTTTATGTATAATAGAAACATGACCTACCTGTCTCCAAGATCAGCCTGGTGATGAGTGCCAAGTAGCACGAAACTCGAGTCTCGGGTTTCCTGTCAACTACCTCCAACCACCATCTAATCTTGCAATAACGCACTCAGTGTTGAGTCACCTAGACTGGTGGCCACACTGCAACACGGTCGTCAGCATTCGATCTGCACTAATAAGGATTTGACACACACAACACTGATCACCACCCAGTGATAAATCTATTGTGACCGTTTTTAAGTTTTGAATGGAGTAGCAATTACAGTTGCATTACACATATTTTGAGATCATGAATCATTCTTGTATACTTGAGTATCAACGCCAAGACGTTTATCAATTTCTTGCTAGAAGCTGACCTAACATTACGACTGCAGTTGCTATGCGTCCCAGACTGCCTCCACTTGAATGAAAGAGGACTGAGGAATCCTGTTTTCTTGAGTGTTTCTTCTTGACAAATCTTGTTGAAATCGATTCTTCTTCCGTCGGCTAACGTTGGTCGATTTCTCTAAGCTTACTTATGGCGACTGGGCGTATATGTTTGTGTCGCTAGAGTAGACATCAAAAAGTCATCTCGTTTGCGCTTATTAGTGTGCTTTTAACGGCGTTTTCCAATGCACCTGCTTCCGATAGGAAGCTTTTTATGCCCAAGCAATAATGCTAGCACAGTCACTCGCATCTGCGTTTACTAAACCTTTTGAAAATTGAAAGTGTTGAATTCGCGCAGACGCTGTATTACCATACTAATTTTCATTGCACTGCACACCACGTCCCGCCGAATATCGATAGCCTGGAAGTCGAAAATCATTTCGTTTGCACTTTTCGTTCACCAGTCACATGTTTTCAGATACATTGAAAAGACCCGTAGACGCAAAATCTGATTACCTAAAAATATGGATAAAATGTGAACCTTGAACGTTTAAGTTCAAAAGTGTGTAGCTTGGTGTCGGATCGAAATTGACTATGAACACCACTACAAAGGAACGCGTGCCAAATAAATCCATAAAATCCCCGGGAAGCTTGGTATGATCAAGATAAACTTATCTGATTTCAAACTTGTGATCTATTAGTTGACAGTCAATTGACTTGACAGATTATTCAAATATTAATGCGGTTCTGATTAGCTTGCAGTGTTGCATTCGTCGATGAAGTTATAATATTCGGACGATGTCTGATCGGTGCGAAAGCGATGTTGAGAATACTATAGTGAACAACTCGATCAGTTGGCTGGAATTACCATTGGATTAAATTTACCAATGAGATGAGTGTATATTTGTAGTAGCGTTGGGGAATAGACATTCAGCGTTTAACACGGAGAAAAATCCAACGATGAAGAAGGAGGGAAGACCATATTGGATGAGCCGGAGTTGATCGTATGGCAGGCGTGATCCCTGCTGAATGTTACCTTATGTCTTTTATTTATATTGAACATAATGTTGTATCTCTAGCCTAAGTTTGTTCTCCATCATTCATTAGTAATTGTTATGAAGTAGTGAGTTGATGTGGACGATAATGTGACTTCCACGTAAGATCTTATAGATTAGGCAGTTATATCATGAGAAATCTGCAATTTTAGGATTAGGTTTATTATTACAGCAGTACTAATATCATGGTAGACTATAATTCTACATATTCTCAACTCAGTTGGCTTCTAACTTAAACTGCCCAATTAAACGAACTGATTCAATTAATCAACTAATCAATAATTTTCAACCAAATATCTTTCTGCTTAACATGTTTATAATGTTACAATCCTTTCTTATGGTTGAAATGGTGTTCAGTAATTTTCACGTGTTTTTTGGGATTAACGAAAACAAACGACAGTTGCAGTGAAGTATGGTAATATTTCAACAGAAACGCATAGTTAGTAATCTGACATGAACGCCGAACTGAACATCCGTATCGAAACACTAACTGAAACGCGAAATTACATCAGGATACAAGTCAATTTTCCTTCTTCATTTTAAGACCTTTAACAAATTGAACAAAACATAATGATAAATCACCTTCTTTTTAAAAAAGTACGATACAAGCTTTGGCCAGCTTATTTTGTTACATTGTTTGCTGAACCTTATCAAGTTGTAAACATAGGCGGTGAGGTTCAGTAAAGAAATTGGTATCCCAGTGTAGACCACCAACGTAGATGATCTATGTCGAAATGATTGGAGACCTACTCGAGTTAGACCTGAATGGTACGACAAACTATCTAACGTCGAAGTCACACCTCATGGTCAGCACCTTACGTGGACTACTCCATTGACGTATCAAGGTACCATAGATGCTTTAAAGACTGTACAACACAGAGGACGTTATTACAGAAATATATTAGTTAAGGTAGATACAAGTGAAAGTAAGACCACTGCCGCATGAGCCAGTCCATGGCATATGATTAACGGATGCGCGTTGGTTGTCCCTGAACTTGACAGGGAGCGATGATCTGTTCGACATTCAGTGATCCAACTACCGGATGATTTGGCTAGGGCTTAGTGACATTTCACTGGCCTTACACCAGAATAACCCCGAAACGTTAAAAGATTCTGGGAATATATTGGGAAGAATCCGAAAATGCCACAGATATTTTGAAGACTTTTCACAGACCTTGGGAAATTTTGAGGCATTTCTTCAAGACTTTCTATGACGTTTCCTTTAAAATTTACCCAGATCGGACAAAATATTTCACGAGATAAGGAGATTAGAAGGTTACGAAACCATAATAGAACCAACGTTTGCACTACAAAACAAAGAGAGTCAAACCAATGTTCTTCGCGATGGCTTTGTTGCAGCGAAAGATCACTTAAACATGAGAACACCCAATATTCATGCATCTCAACGGACACTGAACAAACCAATAGTAATTGAATTACGAAGTGGCCGCCTGATTCAGATTGCTAAAGGTCATTTGAACGAAACGGCGGGCGACTTCGAGCGGATCTTACTTTTTATTTACCTTGCCATTGTTATCATAAGTTTCATTAGTTCGTTCACAAAGTGTAGTCTTCCCTCAGAGACGTAGATGCAGTCACCCTTTGTCTCAACTTAGATACTGGGTTTCGAAACCATAACGTACTATTTTGGATATCATGAATTCGTACTTTTTTCCTGAACCACATTGTAAATACCTTAAGTATCTTGATGCCACTTATATTGTTACTACTTCTACTATGCGTACGTTTTATTTTGTGTTAGAGTGGTGTTGCGACTTCAAACAGTCGTACCAACATTAGTAAGACGACTTGATATAGGAGAAAAAAGTTGTAAGGAGATTTGAGACTCAAGTTCCAAGGGAAGAGAAAAAGTGAATTGACCTGCACCATTGCGAACGATTTTAAATTGTGGCCAACCATAGCTAGTATAATCATGCGGACCTCACTCAGCGTGCACCTATTAAGAGGGTTCAATACAATTACCAATGATTTCATGGATTGGTGGCACATCTTGGCTTGGCCTCCTCTATCTGTCTCCCAGTCTAATCCTTCCTACGCCAGACAGCGTCGCTCGTCGAGGTAAATGGTAGTTGAGTGTGCGTAACATGTCTTAGCCACCTTAATTGATGCAAATTCACTATCTTATTAAATCGTTTACCATTTTTATCTGGTAGCGTACCCCTAACCTCAATGTTGTTCAATCGGTTGTCCGAAAATATGCGAGGAATGTTTCGGAAAAAACCTGTAATCGAATACAAGTAACCTACGAATATATATCCTTAATGATCATATTCCATTCTCATAAAATAGAACAGAGCAAAATGCTGTACGGTAAATTTGTGCTTTGTTTGGGAAACAGACTTCTTGACTATACCGCAAGCGATAAATTTATCTATAAACCAGTCGAGGTTTCATTGTAATTCGCAAACTATGGGTTTATGTACTCGGTTTCGAGCCACACTTCGTATAAAAGCTAATGATACTAACCCGCTTGCCAAAGAAGTGAGTTTTCAACCTAGGGTTTACTAGTTATAATTCTATGGGTTCAATCACAAAGCCACCACCTACCATTGAGGAATACTAGACGGGAGTTTCGTCTCAGCATGAGACCCTGCAAAATGGTCCCAAAGAGGCCGGACATTTCTTCATGTTAGTGATCAAATACTGCTTTTTATTTCTTCATCATAACTTTCCTCCATTTTTTTTGATTGAAACAGGTGGATGGAGCTGTTATACAAAAACTGAAAAACGACAGTCCAGCTCTTTTTTACTGCATATCATTATTCAGTCCAATTTTCCCTTTAGATTATTGAAGGGAGGAAAATCCTTGACATGCAAAAAGAATCTAGTGAAGATGTTGATACGCAAAACGTCAAGTATACTCCTTGCAAATAGTGTGTCTAAATTACTTAGTGTGCGTAAACCCCATAAAAAACGCCGAAAAGCGAAGAAGTCTCGAGATGTACTTAACAGTTTACAGGATGATGCTTCGAAGACTTCAATAAATTCTCAAATTTATTCGACTAAGAGAATAGAATTTGATGACGATGGAGAAATAAAAAATTTATACGCTGCAGATAACTGGGATGTAGGTAGATTTCCACATTTAAAGGTGATTCCCAGCTTTCTGATTGTACTCGCAGGTCGAAAAAGCGTTCAGGATACGTCACTTTTTCAAACATATGTGCCGAACAGAGATTTACACCGAAATCTGGAGTGTCAAACCTTGAGAATACTGATATTATATCTTACATTTCAGAAGATGAGTTAGAATCCGTACATGAAATACCGATCAAACATGAAAAGAATCAGCATTTAGAAGTGACAATCTACAGTTTTCCTGTATGTTTAGCTTCTATTCGTACTATTATAGAATAACTATGAGACTGTTGTGAAGTATTGGTATGATACTTTTCAGAAACTTCATTTACTCACCAGAATAACTGAAAACCAGGTGGGTTCTATTTGCTAACTGATTTTAACCATAATATTTTTTTACGCTTGAGTAATGTAACTTTTCGTGTTGTTACCCCTAACCTGTTTTCCCATTGGTCTTTCAGGAGGGTGCCAACAATTATTGTTCAGTAGTTGAACAAACCCCAAATGGAAGTCCGTCAAACAACACATCATTACATGAGTACGTTTTTTCTGCCTAGAATTATGATTAATCACTGTGTAGTTCAACAACCATCATCTTTTAATCTCATGAATATTGGTTTGTAATATTTCATTTCTATTCACGTGAAGTATAATTTGACACTTAAAGTCCCTTGATAAGAGTCCGTAGAACGTATTTCTATGTATAAACCCTGTGGTCCTTTTTGTTCAATTCTGCGAAAATCAAACCTATAATTTCAGTATAAATATTGGGAAGTACATTTTGAGTAAATACACATTTTCGGTAATTTCTCATCAGGGTTTACAATTACAGTAAAAATAATTCAATCGGGGTATTTAAACAGAACTAAACAGCGGTAAAGATTATAGATAAAATATTTGTAATATCTCAGTGAGTAGAAAAATTAGATTTTCTGACGTTTCGTGACTCAGTGTGAACTACTTCAGAGAAAAAATGACCAAATTAAAATTAACCCAAGTTTAAAACAACAGTAAAGATTAAAATAAAATCGTTCAAGTGTTGATTTGGTCGTTGTAGTTTGCTAGTCATTTATTTATGTGTATACGGCGTAAAGAAAAAGAATCATTAAATGCCCTGGTGCGGCCGAGGGTAAAGAGAGTCAGTTCTCCTTATCGAAATGCTCTCATATGGTCACGAGTATACAGCTATTTCTAAGGAAGTTCTACTCACTGCCTTCTCGTGCTGGGGCTGTTATTTACGAAATTGAGAGGACGAAATTCGAATATCCGGTGCTTTAACCAGGTTTGCGGATACGGAGAGTTCATCCAAGGGAGTTGGAAAACCCTGATTCCAAACCAATAGTGCACATGGGCTCCAGTTTCCTGAAGGGACGAACGGCGTACGAACCAATCGTTGGTCGCCGGACTTACACCGTAGCGAATGATTCTGAGCTACTTCACCCAGTCTCCACTGGTTACGATAATCACTCAAACCCCAACCAGGTAGTATGTAAGTACCTACATGGGTCAGTTTACCTGTTATTGTTTTCATGGACTGATGATGCATCTTAGTTTGGCTGCAATAGCTTTCTTAGGACTTACTCATATGCCACTTATTATCGCGTGTCGAAGTAGTCGGTGAATGAACTTGCGTAATCCTGCTTCGGTCTGAGCACTCGGGCAGTATCACAGCCCATACACACTTATGTGGTGTATATGTACTTGGTGCCCCTTTGTACTAATATGAGTGGATGCAATTTAAGTAGACAGAAAGCTCCAACGAACGCCAATTCCTGTTATTAACTCAGGTGATAGGTCGATGTGTAAAGTACTGTAAAACTGAACCAGAAAAAGTCTTGTCCTGTCGTTGTATATTGTGTGACCAAATGAGTATGCATTGCTTTGTGTTTTAAAGTGAATACGTTACTAGAGAGTCATGGATGTTTCAATCACTAAAATCGGGTTGTCATATACTTGATTACTTCACTTTACAGAATATTTCACAACACTTCTAATCCTATTTTTCCTATCTATTTTCAAAATACAATACTTAATGTAAATTAGGTATACTGAGCATTATAAACATTCAGTAGAAACCAAGGAATTATGAAGAAAGTACGAACCCAGACAGAAACTGGGATAATTAAAATGACTTAATAATGATTCAAACTCGTGATATAGATGTGTATTAAACTATGACACTATCAATTAAGGTAGATTATTATCAAATATAAGATCTATGTATGAACTATACCTTGTGAAAGTAGCCAGAAAGTCACATTATCCTGTAGAATAGTTATTTATCGGTATCATATATTTTTGTAGAGAACAAATGGAAAACTGTCAATAACAATATGGTTTTTTCCGAGACCGGTCTTCCGAATAGGCCTCTAAAATATTGGAAACGAATACGCTCATTTGCAAATGTTTTACAACAATCTGGAAACAAATAGATTTAAATGTAATACTTCATGCTGTCGTTTTGAAGTTTTGTTACTTTTTTTCAATGTGTTCTTGCTAATTGCTAGGTACTTCACCGTCTCTCTTTGGTGTAGAATCATTAAGCTGCATGTTGGGTTGTATTGTTAATGGTTAGCGGCTGTTGAGTATGTCCAAATCATCGTGGTTTTACCAGTAATCATCCTTATAGTCAGTATCTGAGAACAGACTTCGTGCTATCCCACTTAATGGTTTTGTATTAATTTGTTACGTGATAAAAGTGATTCGCTACAGCTTAATCCTTTGATGTATGATCTTAAATGTCAGTACGAAGCGATTTCTTCTTAAATATAAACCGAAATCTCACGTTGCCTATTAGTTTTCAAGCTTACTTATTTTGAAGCCAGAACGCTATAAAGCTAGCTGGAATCAAATGGATTTTTTTGGTCATGATATTACACAGATCGATTAGATTCGGTTGACAGAAAAACGAGGTGTTAATAACTTTGTAATAGATCGAACTTCCTCTCTGACAACTGACGGAAAGAATCTGGTGACCACGGAATTTTCTTTCGGATATGAAACGTCTAGATGTCACATTTTGGTCTTCACTCTTCAACTACCTAAGGGAATGCTTTAAGACACCCATCATGTTACACAAAACAAAATTCTTCCCATACTTGACAGTGCCTGTTTCTAGATTCGGATCATAAGGGATCTGGAGCGATAGAGTCAAGTAAGCTACATAATCAACTTCTGGTACCTTGTACACTAACAATTCATATGAGTAAAATTAGTATTTGATACAGACAACATCGGTCGAGAGGTAATAGCGTTCTTTTTCGAATATGGAAGCAGATAAACCTAGATTGTTAAGCTATGAGAAGTTAGGCTTAAAAAGACGGAGTATGTCTCTCGACAGTCACGAAAATGTCATAAATACTTCGTTTATCGCTAGACAGTTAATTACAAAAGAAAACTTGGAAATTATCAAGTTTAGAATTCCTGTTAAACTGATTATTTCGTAATACCGTTTTTACAAGGTAATCGTTTGCGTTTCACCTCACTGGTTTCAAACTTGAATATATGACAGACCCTTCGTTCCCAAAGCAGCGTGCCTGCGGTGACGCTTTATAATGTCTGGTTGGTGGTTGAATACCCTCGACCTCGTTCTTGCATTTAATCGCTCCCCATCAGGAGAATACCCCTAAGAGAATGTTACAACTTAGAACAGTAGTCCTTTCGACCTCAACTTTACGATCAGTTTGAGTCCTAAACGTCTTTTGTTGTGAACTAGTATAAGCTAAAGATTCATTTGAATTAAGTATTTTACAGATATTTCCTAGATTGGGACTTCTTTATGATAAGAATTTATGACGACGTCAAGGATCAAACCCGGCCTCCATACCTTAGATAGCATATTGCATCTTGACTATTAAGTTCTAGTTGAGTAGCCGACATCTTTAACTTCATTTGATTTGCGAAATAATGCATCAGTTGTAAGTACGAAACTGTTTAATCCCCAAAACAGTTAACCTCCATCGGTCATGACTTTGCACAAGAATATACATAAACACATAGAACACACATGACGGGACTTGTTGATAAACGAGGCAATATTACCAGTTGTTTTAATTGTACTGGAATACGATCCTAGAAACTCAATTTACTTTAAGCCCATTGTATATGATTGCCTTCTATCTATTACTAAGTCGGTCATGTGTTTTTGTCATTTAAAAGGGTTGGGAATAAACATCAAAACTTAAGGCCTAAACACAGGGAAATCCTTGTTATCAAAGTAGCAGTACAAGCTCTGTTTGGTATTATCATCGTAACGACTAATTGTATCAGTAAATATTCACAAAGTCAAACGACCGTAATTTACTTATTTAGCTATCTACTAATAAGTCATTGGACGTACTATTTCCAAACTACCATTCATTGTTACAGAACAATACCTTTTTTCAACATCGAGGTTTGCGTTTCTTGCAGTACACAGTACTGATTCTTATTTCTTTCCAAGTATTGTTGTTATTAACACAGTATATGATTCACAAGCCACTTGGATTTTTAGTACCAAAAACTACTCGAGTAATTTTGCTCTTTCAAAAAGCCTAACTCCGTATTTAGTTAAATAGAGGGAAAGGACCTGATCCAAAACAAAGGCAACAAGTGAATTGTTAAGCAATTGAGCTTAATGAAAGCATAAGCAGGACTACACTGACTTTCTTACCTTTCTGCGTTAACGCGCCTACCAGTATACTAAATTTACGACAATAAGTCTTAACATTGTTCTTATTTTGATGCTTTACATACATTAGGCAGAGGCTCGAATACGCAACTATCACTTTTAATATTTCAGTAGGCTTTTCGTTTGGCTGGTATGTGTGGAAAATCTACGGTGCCTAATTGTATGGTCATTCTTATTTCTGACAAAGTAACCAAATCCAGGATGTACTGACCTAAATCTGTCCTCTAAAGCAAGTATGAGTAAAATTAGATCAGTGGTTAAATTAGCCGGATTTCGCGTCCAAGCCACTCATTTGGTTAAGGAATCTAGCTAACATCACTAACCTGAAGCCACGTATGAGCTTGCACTTAGTTGCGTTAAGTATTCCAATAATATTTGTCGTAACCAACGGTTCAATCTTCTAGTCAAGTATTGAGCTATAGAAAGTCCAGAACGCTGACAGCAGTTTACGCCATTGAATGCTTTCAATGTTTTTTACGAGTAACACTATATAAAGGCCTTTACTATTACACGTAAATGGTGAGTAATCAACGGGGAACGATTAGCAAGGATAACATGTCAACCATCTGGAAAATGTAACTAATTTTACAAGAAATTAATTACAAAACAAGAAACTTTAAATACACGTAATATACACTGTACAATGAAGCAAAGTTCCTAGAAATTTACTGGACGGAAATGAGTTCAGGGGGCATATGTCCTGAGTTTCCTAACCATCTCAATGTGACGCGCCCGTCTGGCCGGACGACAAGCCATGTTATACTGCCGTGATCAAGGGAAAACCTTATCCAGGCTTCAGGTGGAAACTGTAGAGCTCTACAAACAAAATAGCGAATAACGTTTGCATGGCACACAAACACTTCATATGTGTCAGCTTCTTGTTCCGCATCTGCACGGTGTATATGTCTTTTGAATGCAAGTTCAATGCGGGAGCCATCTTCTTCTAAGTCTTTTGGTGTGGGTTGGTAATATACGAGGGGTGGCTCCAGAACGTAAGGAGCACCCTCGCGTAATGCGTCTGATGGTTCTGCCTGAACATCGGGAAGGTGATTTAACACCAACTCAGCTGATTCGACAGCACGCGTCATTGTGGAGTAGTATAATTTCCTATATGGGAAATTGAGTTCTCGTAAACGCATTCCAGTACATTCCAATTGCTGGCGCCCGAGCCCTGTCAGGTGACAGTCAGAATCTTCTTTTGCATAATGATATTGGCCATGGCGAATAAATAGAAGGTGTCGTGTACATTTTGGTTTTGATGTCACTATTTCACCCTGTAAAGAGGCATCTGTCCCAACATTAGAGGGATTCCTTCCATCCCAGTCCCAGTTCCATGGTTTTATACTGATATTTTCACTACAGATAGCACGAGCACTTAGTATTGATGGAAATCGTTTATTGATGCTGGTTGCAAAACTTTTCAACTGGTCATAAAATGGTAGAGTCAGATCACTTCTACTCCAATCGGCGGACCATGCTGCTTTAGCCCCGAATAACGCTGTACCAGTGACGCAACAGCCCAGACGTACTACACGACTGAATGACATATTAGAGTGCAATCTATTACGGTGGTGCTAAATCCCTACCATACTGTAACGACGCGCGCCATTTTGATTTGTGGACACTATATTATGCAAAGTACCTTCGACTTTAATGTGAACAAACAGTTTCAGTAGTACTTATGTCGGACGAAACTACAGACTACATTTAAGAGAACTTGGTGTTATTTTGTGCTCACATCATTCGTTACAGAAATACACAACCAAAAGTTAACTTCCAACAACTGGTAATGTCTAGTCTGACAATATTATATAACAATGATGTCAGATGAAATGTCGCACCTGCAGTTCGAAAATTAAGTCTTGTTTTGATAGACTGTGAAGAGTTGAGACGTATTCAATAAACCAAATGGGGAAAACAATTGAGTTTGCCCATCTGTTCATCAATGAACAACCAACATACGACATTTAAGTATTGTTACGTTTAGTTTAACAGTAAATTCTCATTCTTTCGAGTAAACATTCTGCAAGAGATTTGACTCAGGCTTTTAACTTGAAGGACTTTGGTTTTTAATTCCTATTGATTAGTGTAACTGTAAATAATTCCACCGAACAGGATCATGTATGTCTTCGACATTGGTGCTGACTTCATTAGTCGTACTGGACGCACCTAACTGAAGAAACTGTGTCACGAATGTGCACCATATCACTAGTGGGTACATCGCTCTACGCACTCCTTTCAAGCGCTAGCCGGTTCATACCAAACGCTTCCCAACATATCGATAGCTTTTGAAATACATCTTCGAAACCTTTCATTTTTGACTTCTGATTTGATTCGGTGGATATGCTTCATTCATAAAAACGTTACGCGTAGAGGCGTTGTCAAATTCCGAATACTCATGGGGTACCTAGTCTGTCGTATGCCCTGACGGTGTTCTCGTAACTTTCGGGTTGCCTGATCTGCTTAGTGCGATGGGACACTGCATGATGATATTTTTGTGGGGTGGGTTCGCCCTCCCTCTCGAAATACTCTCACACGGCCACGCGTATACAACCTTTGCCACAGAAGTCCTACTCACTGCCTTCTCTTGGCGTTACTGTTGTTTACGAAAATGGGAGGACGAAAAGCGAATGTCCGGCACTTTAACCGGATCCCAGACCAAATCAATGGTGAACATGAGCTCCAGTATCCTGCTGGAACAAATGGCGTATGAACCAATTTTCAGTCACCGGCTGCCATGGGACTGCATCTTCTAACTATGCTCCACTGCCTTGTGGGTCAG